TTCTAAAGCTGTAATTTCAAAACCAACACAGTTGATTTTACTTATCCTAATATATATAGAAGCTAGGTGCCGTCACAACCAAACGGGCGACTAGTCACCATGAAGTGCATGGCGCCACCCTCCGGCCTCCCCCCCCCCCCCCCCCCCCCCCCCCCCCCCCCCCCGCCCCCAAGCCGCTCTCCATGAGGGGGTGCTGGTGGCAGGGTGGGACTGGGGACTGTTGAGCGGTGGTGGTGGGCTGCTTTGTGGGGTGGCTTTGAGCTTAGTGGAGCAGTCACCGGGAGGCCTCGAGTTTTGCTAAGCAGTCGCAGGGCGGGGGGGAGGGAGGAGTTTCACAGAGCATCCAGTGGCGAGCTTCGCAGGGTGGCAGCAAGCTTCACAGAGCAGTCGAAGGGTGGGGGAGCCTCGCAGAGCAGTCGCGGGGTTTGCGGAGCATTCTGGGGCAGGGAGCTTCATATAGCATCACAGGGTGCCAGAGGCCATGTGACGGAGGCCAGGCCAGGCCTAGGGACCCTAACTGTGCACGATTTCGTGCGCGCTGGGCCTCTAGTTTGTTTATATTTCTGGCTCCTATGTGAATTTGTGTTAATCATTACTTTATTCTTTAAATCTTTTTTGTATAAAGTATTACATATGTAATATTTTTTTCTCCCATTAAACCCTTATTGATCCCTTCCCACCTACCCACCCTCCCCTGCCTTCCCTCTGACATTCCACAGTCTGTTCTGTGCTTCTGTGTCTCTGGATCTATTTTGTTCATCAGTTTATTTTGTTCATAGATTCCACATATGAGTGAGATTATGTGATATTTGTCTTTCTCTGACTTGCTTATTTAGCTTAGCATAATACTCTTCAGGTCCCTCCATGCTGTCTGAAAGGGTAAGATATTCTTCTTTTTTACTGCTGCATAGCATTCTATGGTGTAAATGTACCACAGCTTTTTATCCACTCATCTACTTCTACTGATGGGCACTTGGGCTGTTTCCAGATTTAGCTATTGTAAATTGTGCTGCTTTGAATATAGGGGTGCATACATTCTTTTTGATGGGTGATTTAGGTCTCTTAGGATATATTTCTAGACGTGGGATTACTGGGTCAAATGGCAGTTCTATATTTAATTTTTTGAGGAAACTCCACACTGTTTTTCATAATGGCTTCACCAGTCTGCACTCCTACCAGCAGTGTACTAGGGTTCCCTTTTCTCCACATCTTTGCCAGCAATTGTCATTTGTTGATAGTAGCCATTCTGACAAGTGTGAAGTGATACCTCATGGTCGTTTTAATTTGCATCTCTCTGATGATCAGTGACTTTGAGCATTTCTTCATATGTCTCTTGGCCAGCTGTATTTCTATTTTGGAAAAGTGTCAATTTAGGGCCTTTGCCCATTTTTTAAATTGGATTTTCTTCCTTTTGTTAAGTTGTATGAGTTCCTTATATAATTTGGATATTATTCCTTTATCAGATATATCATTGCCAAATATGTTCTCCTATACAGTAGGTTCCCTTTCCAATTTGTTGATGGTGTTTTGTGTGTATGTGTGTGTTTTTTGCTGTGCAAATGCTTTCATTTTGATTAACCCCATTTGTTTATTTTCTTCTTAGTTTGCTTTGCCCTAGGAGATGTGTCTGCAAACAGATTGCTGCAAGAGATGTCTGTGATTTTGCTGCCTATAGTTTCTTTGAGGATTTTTATGATTTCGTGGCTTACATTTAAGTCTTTTATCCAATATGAGATTAGAATTACAGGCAATATCTCTGATGAACATAGATGCTAAAATCCTCAACAAAATATTAGCAAACCGGATCCAGCAATATATTACAAACATTATACACCATGACCAAGTAAGATTTATTCTAGGGATGCAAGACTAGTACAATATTCACAAATCAATAAATGTGATACATCACATAAACAAATTTAAAGACAAAGATCACAATCATATCAGTAGACATAGAAAAATAATTCTATAAAATCTAGTATGCATTTTTTATAAAAACTCTCAGAAGAGTGGGAATAAAGGGATCATATGGTATATCAACATAATAAAGGCCATATATGACAAATCTACAGCCAACATCATACTCAAAGGACAATAATTAAAACCATTTCCCCTAAGAATAGGAACAAGACAGGGATGCCTACTTTCACCACTCTTATTCAACATAGTACTGAAAGTGCTAGCCACAGTGATCAGATAAGAAGAAAACATAAAAGGCATCCAAATTGGAAAGGAGGAAGTAAAACTGTCATTATTCATAGATGACATGATATTGTGCATAGGAAAATCAAAAGACTCCACCAAAAAGCTACCAGATTTAATAAAGGAATTTGGCAATGTAGCAGGATACAAAATTAATACACAGAAATTGATGGCATTTTTATACACCAATAATGAAATCTCAGAGAAACTAAACAAGCAATCCCATTTACCATAGTAACAAAAAAATTAAGATACGTAAGAGTAAACTTAACCAAAGAGGTAAAAGACTTGTACTTAGAAAACTACAGGACGTTGAAAAAAAGGAAGATATAAACAAGTGAAAGAAAGTACCGTGCCCATGGACTGATAGAATTAACATCATTAAAATATCCATACTACGCAAAGCAATCTATAGATTCAATGCAATTCCTATTACCAATGGCATATTTCACAGATCTAGAACAGACAGTCCAAAAATTTATATGGAACCAAAAAAGACCCCAAATATCCCCAGCATTGGAGGGATTACAATACCGGATATCAAGTTATACTATAAGACTACTGTAATCAAAACAGCCTAGTACTGACACAAGAACAGATATATAGATCACTGGAACAGAACAGAGTCCCCAGAAATCGACCCAAGCCATTATGCTCAAATATTTGACAACAAAGTTAGGCAAGAGCATACAATGGAGTCAAGACAGTCTCTTCAACAAATGGTGCTGGGAAAATTGGAGAAATACATGCAAAAAAAATGAAACTAGACCACCAACTTACACCATACACAAAAATAAACTCAAAATGATTAATTGCTTCTTTAATAGTTTTTTTTAATTTTAAAGTTCTGTTATTGGTTATTGAGGTCTTTTGAAGGAATGCTACCTAAGTATGAAATCTGTTACTGTTATAGTGACAATATCTACTGATGGAGCATTTTTAATGTCTTCATGACTATTTGGATTATTTATCATTGCAGCTTCCTAAATGAATATTTATGTTTTTGCATTTTTATCAATTGCATTTTAATTTAATGATGACTTAGAAAACTCACTTATTAAAAAACACAGGACTGCTTATTGGATATACCAATAAATTAAGTTATATTTTCCTCTTTTATTTTAAATTTTTGTTTGATCTTGAACCATTAAAATTTCTTTGGAAATGATGGGATATTTGATATATTCTTCATAGTTTTTTTTTAATGAAACCTGGACAAGAGCAGGCAGTCTTTGAATATTGTTTAGATTGGCATCCCGATCAAAGGATATAATTACTGGGGGGAGAAGTGGGTGTGGTAGGTAGAGGAGGCTATAGTGGGGACAAATGGTGATGGACAGAGACTTCACTTGGGGTGGTGAACATACAATACAGTGTACCAATGATGTGTTGTGGAATTGTGCACCTGAAGCCTTTATAATTTTGTTAACCAGTGTCATCCCAATAAATTAAAAAAGGAAAACATTTAAAATAATCTAAAAATGATATAGTTTATAAACATTATATATTTGGTTACATAATAGGAAGAAAAAAATAAAAGAAATCAAAGTCATACAATTATTAAAAGGGCGATGAACGAATCAGGCAAAGTCCTTTAGAGTTTGGAAGGAAAGCCTTAAAGTGTTTTAATTTTATGTTCAAAGCAAGGTAATAGAATAAGTTTTTATTATATTTTAAGTGTAGTAAAGGTACAATATATGAACAACACTGAGGAAAAAGTTTAGTAGTATGATAGAATGAAGGTTGGGAAACAAATCAGGTAATTTATATATGAAGGAAATATAATAGTATAAATCACAGATAGGTGCTACCACTAATTATAAAAATTACAGCTTAGAATTAGGAAAATTTTGCCAATCCCCTAAAAAAAGAAAAAAGTAGTCAAAACCAGAAAAGGGTAATATTTCTCATTCTTGGTTCAGAAAAGTTAGACATATATATTTTTCTCATAGTCTTTAAGAATATCATTTAGGAAACATGGGGATATATATTTAAATTATTTTCAGGGCTACTCGATCCATATTATTAATACTAGAATCATAAGATTTGACTTTGCTTGAAATCAACAAAAACTGTTTTCCCTAAGAGTTATTATATTTTATTTTTGTAAATGAAGTTGTTAATTTGAAATAGCATATATGCATGGATTTTAATGTTTCAAGCATATTAAGTTAGGATGGCAATAGAATTTTGCAGAATGCTAGTTTTCGTAAACAGGTTTCTTCAAGCTTAATGTTTCTATGATTTCTGTTGTTAAAATGTGGTGCTTACCATTAGCAGTTGATCTGACATAAGAATAAATTTCAAAAGAGAATACTTTAAACTACATTAACTTTTAAAATTATCAGAGTTCTTTGAATTGTTATTATTAAATGATAATGCATTAAAAGCTAATTAGGCCTATAGTACTATTCGTTTCTTTTTCCCAGTTTTAGATCCCATGGTATTGCATAACTCTTGATGATCAGATGGTGGGTTGATTATTTCATGAGGAAATACATATGTGTATAATCATAAAATTGAAATAATTTATAAGTCAGTGGTGTGTATTATGAAACCATGCTTTGAATTTTTTCTCTTGCAAGTCTGTATGACAATATTACTTATGAACATGTTTATACAGACTCTTGGTTATTTTGTAGAATGATAGAAGTTAAGCTAGTGCTACTTTACAGTTTATTATTGAAATGAAATTTTCATTCTTTGAGTAAATATGACACATATTATATTTAAATATTTGCATATATGTGAGTAATATAAGCTGTACTTTTATTTGCAAATACGCTTTTTAAAAATAGGTATTTCAACGGCCATCTTTATCGAGTTTGGAAACCTTAATGGTGTCACAGAAGTCTGAAATTGAGTATTTACAGGAGAGACTGAAAATAGCAAATGAAAAACTGTCAGAGAATAGATTGATCAACCAGGGTTCCTCAGAAAAGAGCATCTGGACAAGTGTTGAAGGGAAACAAAAGGTAGGGACATTTTTGTCATTTTTGTGAATTTGTCAGAATGAAGTTGGCAGTGCAAGCAATAAAGTTAAGAAACAAACAGGCACATTTACTTCTCTGCTTTTAAAAAATATTATGTGCCAAACATTCAATAAAATAATTGAGAGAAGAATGTTTTCCCTTTTTAAAGACTGAATATATATTCCTACTTTAATTAATGAAATATATTAGTCTTATTATTCCTGTTTTGCAGTAAATTAATGTTCATATATTAATTTATCTATAGATTAGCTAAATGCATTAATTAGATACATTATCTGCATAATAATTTTAAAGTGGTATAGTCACTAATTCAATATCCTAATTTTAATTATAAGAAATAGATATCTTAATTTTTTTATTCAATTATATTTAAATACTGCCCATGTGGAATATAAAATATTAAATGGAATTTAACATTAATATGTACAGTTATAAATACTGAGATTTAAATGCATAGCAATAGTGAAAAATAAACAATTTTTGTAGCATGTTTGTTGTCTATTAATGTCGCAGGTTTCCCTTTTTGTAGTATTCATTATATATTCCTGTTGTGATGCAAAAAAATTTTTGAACATTGACTAATATTAAAACTTCATATCTTGTAAATATGTTATTTCTAGACAAAATTGAAATAACATTTCCCTAAAAATAAGTTTTAGACATATTTTTCTTATACTTGTTAGTTCAGCAATAGAAAATAATGTTTTTATTAAGTAGTAAGCCATGATTTTAAGATAATTGTTTTTGGTTCTTTTCAGTTTTTCCTGAGTGGAACAAATTATCTGAATAAAGAAAGCATTTAAAATTATATCCATGTTTCTGTGGTACTTTTATTTATTTTCTCTAATGTTTGTAATTTTCAGAAGAATGAGCTTTATGTATATGTATGATATATGTACTTTTTTATTTAAGCATAACTGTATTTTATGTTTCTTGCAATTTTGGAGTACTTTCATGGCATTGAGCATTATTTAAGTGAAATAAGACATTCCTAAAATTGAAAGAAAACATTACAGGACCTAATTTGGTTACTTGCTTTATTGCTGAAGTTTAAAAAATGCATTGACTTGCTGTTTCATTGCTTTTAAAAAAGTCAAGAAAACAAGAGGCATATTTTTAACAAAATTTTTTTCTTTCATAAGGATATTCAGTAAGTATGAACAATATGTTGCTCAGCTTAATAGTTGCTTTTACATATTCCTTCTCCAGATTGGTATATGAAGCTATACATAATATAAACACACATTCATGTCTCTAGTTAGCCACATTATAGTTAATGACCATATGGTCATTACAGTATAAGATCTACTGTCTGTTGTATTTATATTCCTCAAGCATATTGTTCCTTCAACTTCACAGTGTGTTAAACTATTTCAAAGGGGAAAAAATCCTTTCCCTCTTGTTTCTGGTTGTCCTATCAAGTGTAACCTTGGACCCTTGTAGAGCAATTAGACCAGCCTCTATCCCCTCCTTTGTAATGAGGTTTCTTGCATTTCTGAGTCTATAACCCTTTAGTCTTCCCTAATGGGACATCATTATTCTGAAAGAAACAATGTAAATGTAAATGAATATTCTCATTAACGAGTCACAGAGAAACCTTTAGCAGTAGCACTGTGGTAATTCGGCTTGTTATTTCTCTGGTATTCCATGCAGGATTTTTTTATAATTCATTATTAGTATTCAAAATTACGTGTTCTTTAATTTTGCATGTCTTTCATAATCCAGTGTTCCAACTAGTTCAACCATGTCCTTGTTTTATTCTCGAGGAACCACCTGTGAAACGTTCAAGGTCTTTGTCCCCAAAGAGCTCTTTCACAGACTCAGAGGAGCTAAAGAAGCTGAGAAAAGCTGAAAGAAAGATTGAAAACTTAGAGAAGGCACTACAACTAAAGGTGAACATTAAATCATTCCTTTAGTAATAACCTTACAAAGGTAAAGATAGAGAAAGTAAACATTCATTTCACAAACTACTGCTTATCCTTTATCTTTCCTGAATTTAAATATATGTATAAAAATGTGTAATCTGTTGGTCTTGTTTTAAGATTTCTGAGGATCATAAAGTAATAAAAATTGCTGTTTGAAAACTATCACTTTAAAATTATTGGGGAATATTTTGGCTTAATATTGGAAATACATTTATTATAGTTTCTCAGAGGAAAAAAAATAGAATTTTAACAACTAAAAAGCAATTTCTTTTTTTTTTTTATATATGACTAGAGGCCCGGTGCATGAAAATTCATGCACTGGAGGGGGGTCCCTCAGCCCGGCCTGCTGCCTCTCACATAGGAGCCCTCCTTACGGGCAGGAGGCAACCCGGCAATCAGGGGAAGGTGATGCCCCCATCACACCTCTGCTGCTGCCACTGCTGGCAGCACAAGCCTCGGCCAGCCCTGGTTACCTGAGCCTCGGGTGGCCCTGGGCGGCTGGGCAGCCACCATCCGTGGCTTGCCTGTGCCTCGGGCCGGCCCTAGGCAGCTGGGGGGCTGAGGAGACTGGGCACCACCATTGTGTGGCTGTGGGCGCCACCATCTTTGAGGGCGGGGCAGTCAATTAGCATATTCCCTCTTTATTTGATAGGATAAACAAAAAGACTGGTGAGTTAAAAACTATACAAGCTAGCTCAGGCCACTTAGTGTCCTTTACAGAAAAATTACATAGTCAAAATGGTAAATAAATATACATTATTTTTTCCATTTCAGTTGAATTTGTTTTAGAATATATGACATTAGAATTGGCATTCTACTAGTGTTTAAGAAGTATATACCTTTCAGCTTATCTTTGAGAGTTTATTCTTTCCAAGTTATACTCTGAATTCTATTTCTCAACAGAAGTTGGTTGTGCATATTGAACCAATGTTATACTGAGGACTTTTATTTTTCTGAGATTTTAATGTGGTTAATCTTGTCATTCTTCATTTACAACTACCTGAAGGCCTGCACTATTTGAGATTTTCCACTTAATTGATTCTCAAATAGTTTTATGATATTCTATGACAAGCCCAACTTACACATGATTAGTCTAATATATTTAAAGCTTAGATTCTTTGTCATATAATATAGATTACTCTTAGGGAGAAGGAGGTTTGACTTATATTATATATAGTCTAGAACAAAATATAGTTTACTAGTAGAGGTATAGTTAACCATGGCTACAATTACTAATTTTTTTGCCTTTTCACTAAACATTGTGTTAATTTCTATTTATTCAGAGTTAAACTGTTAGTTCTCAAATAAAGGAAAATTATTATCTATTGTTTCTGCCCAAAATAAAATGATCATATTATGACCTCAGCTTGTTAGCAGTTAGCCTACTTAAATTTGTATGCCTGGAGTTATTTGCCTATTTATCTGTTTACTCCAGAACTTATGAAGCAATGCAGTTAGCCAAGCAAAGTGCTAGTCACCTGTATAATAGGAGAAAAGATGACTTTCTATCACTAAGATCCTTTCTCTAGATAAGAACATGCTAAATGATTAGATAAATATAGTGTTTCAGTGTCAACATTTGGGTATTACAGGATATTATGGGCATGTTTAGGAAGTCAAGTTTATCATTTTCCTCCTTTTGCATAGTTCTTGAAATTCACATACCACGGCTTCTATCCTGTATTAATCTGGATTCTACAGAGAATCAAAACCAATAGACTATAACCCTTTAATCTTCCTGAAATAGACATCATTATTCTAGAGAGAGAGAAAGAGAGAGAGAGAGAGAGAGAGGGAGAGAGAATTTGATTTACTATAAAGAGTTGGCTCATGTTATTATGAAGTCTGAGAAGTCCAAGATCTACAGTCATTAAGATCCAGGAAAGCCAATGGAATAGGTCTGGCCTTGTCCAAAGGCCTGAGAACCAGGAGAGATGATGGTGTAAGTTCCAGTCTCGGTCCAAGTTTGAGTCTGAGGGCAGGAGCTCTTTGTCCCAGCTCAAAGATAGTCAGGCATAGAGAAAGAAGTCTTTCTTACTCAGCCTTTTATTCTATTCAGGCCTTCAATAGATTGGATGAAGCCCATCACATTGCAAAGGGCAATCTGCTTTTTAAAAAATATATATTTTTATTGATTTCAGAGAGGAAGGGAGGGTGAGGGACACACAGAGAGAGAAACATCAATGATGAGAGAGAACCATTGATTGGCTGCCTCCTGCACGCCTCACACTGGGGATCAAGCCCACAACCGGGGAATGGGACCGTGACCTCCTGGTTCATAGGTTGATGCTCAACCACTGAGCCATGCCAACCGGGCAGAGCAATCTGATTTTTTACTCTGCTAGTTTAAATGTTAATTTCATACATAAGTACCCTCACAGATACACCCAAAAATAATGATTAACCCAATATCTAGGCAATGAAGTTGGCATATAAAATATCCCATTTAGTAGTAGAGAATCTCCACTCATTTGCCCCCAGCATTCTGTGAGTCTTTGATAGACCCTTGTCTTTGGCAGGAAGGAATAGAACAATTCAGACATTTTTAGAGCTATTTTCTTCCACCTCTTGAATTTCTTATTTCAGAAAGTCTCAGTAGCATTCTACTAATTTATTTCCTCATTTATTTTATCTAATAACAGCTCTCTTGCATAAGGCCTCAAGTTTATTTTTCAAAGTAACATTGATTTTCAGACAATTTATTTTTCATTTCTACTTTTTCTATATTCCTTTTTCAAGTTCATGTATGATAATCATGAATTTCAAATGCATGTTTTCTGTCACAGATTTGCAAGATAAGGGAAAAAATGGGAGCAATATTTTTTTGCATGTTATCATTTAGTAGGGAAGGATTTCTTATTTTAAAGGAGTAAAAGAATTGCATAAAATGGGTACTGTAATCAAGTGCATATAACAAAAGAAGTGGGTAAACAAAACCTGTATTGTAAAGCAATTCTAAGGAGAATGATTGGGCCCAGGGTGCTTTTTAATTTACATATATGCACTTTGATACATTGAAATGATGGTAGTTACTAGATCAGCCATAAGTCATGAATATTATTTTAATACTAGTTTTGAGTTTTGTAAAAATATTAACACATTCTCTTGCTCAGCTTTCTTTTGTGGCTAGTTGTACAAGTTTTCAAGATGGGTGACCAGTGTTGTAATAAAAGAGCCAACAGTAATGGAAGAAATGAAACCTATTACAAAAATCTCATCCATTTTCAAATCCTGACTTCATGAATGTAGTGAACTAACAACTTACAAAGTATAATTTGGAAAGCAATGCATCAGAGCTTTATGAAATTCATACTATCCTTGAGATCACTAATGCCATGAATCTTTCTCTACTATCATGCATTTGCCAACTTGATTCCATTAGCATTGTTCTCTGCCATTTAATAACATCAATATGACCTCTGATTACAGTTTATGTCTTATTTTTAATACTCTCATATTTATGAGCTTTATACATTCTGCTGAAATTAAACATCAATGGAATACTTTATTCCCTGAAGACTGAGCCAATGTTTCATTAACAGTGTTTATACTCTTAGTTTGTCTTATGCCTGTCAAGGAGCCTTTGTCCAACTAGAAGACTAGATTAAGAATCATTCTGTTCTTATGAACTCAAAGTAGAACTGCATATATCTTTGAAGAAAGTCAGTTTATACAACTTTCCTATTTTCTAATTTTTTAGTTATTTAGACTTGTTAGTACATGTAAGTTAAATATACAAGTTAGAGCCTCTATTTTAGCTAGTTTAATTGCAAAATACATAAAAGGTATTCAGTAAATGTTTTATTGAATTATCTAATAAGTGGATCTAATTCAGTGACTGTCCATTGCATATTTTGTGTGTCCTCTTAGGAAAATATAGTAATTAGTGATGTTACATATATTTTTTATTCCTTATACTTGATTTTGTTATAAGAACTTTGGGGATAATAATTCCCAACTGAATTGCAATTGTTTTGACTTAAGCTATTATAAGTCAAATGGGACTTATAATGCAGTTAACCTGTATTTTTAGAACATTATAAAAAATTTTTTGATTATTCTTTATAAACATTTCTTTTGAGATATATAACTTTTGACTGATATATATCTATTCTTGTAGTAAAATAAGAAAACTTTTATTTGGAATATATATAATCTATCTTTCTGTCTATCTAGCTAGCTAGCTAGGTTATATTTATATAACATTTTTAACCCTCACCTAAGGATGTGTTTATTGATTTTTGAGAGAGAGAGAGCAAGAAAGAAAAACATCAGTGTGAGAGAGAAACATCAATTGGTTGCTTCCCATATGCTCCCTGACCCGGGATTGAACCTGCAACCTAGGTATGTGCCCTGACTGGGAATCGAACCTGCAACCTTTTGGTGTATGGGACAATGCTCCAACCAACCGAACTACCTGGCCAGGACTTTACTGTCTATTTTGAAGTAGACTAAAAGAACAATAGTCTCTAGGACTAATTTAACCCATGTATTACAGTTGAATATTAGCATTATCAAAGCACAAATTAATGGATGAAACTTTAGTTAAAATAATTATTATATATTATGTCCATGAAATTGATTTATCAAATCTCTAACTTGATTTCATTTTAAATAGCTTAGATTTTAATAATTTCATAAGACTTATATAAACATTCTAGGATAAAAGAGCTGTGGTACATTTACACAATGGAATACTACTTGGTTATACTAGTGAAAAAAAGGAAGTCTTAACCCCTTGCGATAGCATGAATAGACCTGGAGATTATTGTGCTAAGCAAAATAAACCAGTCAGAGAAAGACAGCTATCACATGATCTCACTTATATGTGGAATCTAAAGAGCAAAATAAACTAACAAACAAAATAGGACCAGGGGCATGGATAAATGGAACAGACTGACAGATCTCAGAGGGGAGGAGTTTGGGGAGGACTAGAAGAGAACAACCAAAGACTATATATGCATATATGCATAGCCCCTGGACAAAGAGAATAATGTGGTGAAGCCCCATGGGGGGGATGGGCAGAGTGGTGGGAGGCTAAAGGACTTGAACTCTTATCAGCACTTAACACCCTGTATTTAGGCTCTTAATATATGGTTCTTAGGTTGAAATGAACAAAAATGAATTCAGGAGCTGGGATTTTTAACTATGATATAAACCAGTTACTTTTTGGTACTTGGTACACAAAGGACTCAAATACTTCCTAATAACTACTTAATAGAATTACTAAAGTTATCCTTGTAGACATTTATTCAAAGTAGAATGACAAAATAGCTATACTATTGAGATAATTAGAATTCAATAAAATAATGCAAACTCTATATTTAAACTTACTATTGATAAGGGAGATAGATAGTCAAGGAAACAGTGAATTTGGCTTCCAAATGATAAGAGCGTTAAGGAAGCCGAGTTGTGCTTTGTGCCTCTGTAGGGCAATCACAGTGCTTGTTTAATTTAGTCGTCATAATTTAAATCTCTGTCTTTGTATATTTTACAGAGAAAGAAATTGTATTAATTTATATAGTGTTCTTAAGATTATGCATGCAGCTAACAGGAGAAAGCTTCAGGAATGGAATTCAGATCTTTCTGACTGCCATGTGCCTGCTCATCTAACCTCACTATACTATTAGAGAGTACCTCTTAACCTCACTAAATAAGTATACAAGTTCCTTCATACAGAAATATGAGAGTTTAAAAAACAAATGTGAAATTCTCAAGGGTAAAAAAACTCAAGAATTTTCTTACTTTACTTTGAGAAACACAGTTTATAAGTAATACAAATATATCCTCTGAATTGAAAAATTGGCCTTTATAAGTTCATTTTGTGGTTATATCTAAAAATAAAGATTTATTGTGTGTGCTTTATTTAAGACAATTGTTTAACCAAGTAATGTTTGGTTTGTCTATTTCATGATCTCTTCAAGAGTACTAAATTCAGCTTTCCCATCTTCATGTTACAACCCAAAAGGCTAACCTGTACTCCTCCTAGCATAGGTCCAAACTGATTTTCTTCCTCTTGTGTAATTATTGTGCCTTATAACAGACTAATCATGAATACATGGGCTGAAGAATGGTCTTACTTAAAGTCACTTACATAAATTATATGTGCACTTATAATTAACAAACTAATCAGGTTAATATATGGATAAATCCTTTTGTTGAAAAATAAAAATAAAACCTCTATAAGATTGGCTCAATAAATATTTGTATGCATTAACAACAAGGAAAAGAAAACTAATTTGATAGCAAATATTTGAAATTACTTCATCAGCTTTAAAAAATCAATGAAAGTCAAATTTATCAAGCAATCCTGTGACTTTAGGAATGCTTTTCTTCTTAAACTACATAAGTATAAATTCATTCATATTTATATACTATTTTCTTTTAAATTTCATATTTTGATAGGAAACCTTTTATGTGTAACATTATACTAATACTTACTTCAGACTTGTGTGCTTGCTTTTTTGTGTTCTATAGAGCCAAGAAAATGATGAGCTAAGAGATGCCCATGAAAAACGCAAGGAAAGGCTACAGATGTTACAGACCAACTACAGGGCAGTAAAAGAGCAATTAAAACAGTGGGAAGAAGGCAGTGGCAAGTGAGTTACATAGCTCATAAAGGCATTTCCCTAAATATTAAATGGAATGGAGTAGCATCATATAAGTGTTTTAATGGCTTTTGTTTGATTTTAAAGAAATTATTTGTTAGTCAAATCTTTATTGTGAATTTTTAAATAGAGAATATAATAAATGAAAACAGAAAATATGCTAGCAATAACTACAGGTTTTTCTATCATTTGCAGAAATCATTAGCATAAGTAATTATGAATTCTTATATAAATTTTTACTTCATTAGTGTAGCTTAATAAATGCTATAACTTAAAGCAAAAATTGTTCATATTTATTTGATTGAAAACTATTTTAAATAAATAAAATATTGGTGTTACAATATTTATTACTCAAAAAGTATTTAAATTTTAATTGAAAGACAAGAGAAATATGAAATTCACACATATATAGTTAACTATCTTAAAACTAATTCAACTTAGTATGTAATTTGAAAATCTTTACTATCCATCAGTTTGTTCTGCAGCTTATCTGAATGAATTGGAGGTCTCAGTTCAATTGCTCTTGAACAGGTGTTCAGTTGTTGGTTAGTTGTGACACTCTTGTTAACAGTATCAACAAAGGGCAAAGGACTGAACGTGTACAGAAAATCTACTACCCTTTCATCTTTTGAGATGGATCCTTTAGGGCAATGTTGATGGTACACATTGGTCTATTCAATAGAGAAATACTATTTCTAAATTGGCTAGTACAGCACTTTTACAAAATAAAAACGAAGAGTTTATGTATAGAAAATGAAAACATAAAGGGCATTTGGCATGTTTTGTAGATCTAATTGTCACATCTAATTTTCTTCCTTTGAAGAATGGAAAATGTTTCATATTGCTTGTCAGTAAAGCAGTGATAAAACAGTTTGTCAGTAAAGCAGTGATAAAACAATTTGTCAGTAAAGCAGTGATAAAACAGTTTGTCAGTAAAGCAGTGATAAAACAATTTAGATGCTCACCTGACTTTTTAGTAGTCACTAGAAGTGTGAAAACTACTTTCTCCCATATTCACTGATAATAGCTTGATTGACTATAGCCTTTTTTAGAAACTGACAATCTTACAATGTATGTTTTATTACTAGTGGAATGAATGAGAAAAATAGAATATCATGTTCCTGCTTGAAAGTTTGCTTTTCACAGTAACAGTTTAACTTTTTAGGAAATTATGATACAGGATTTTAATTTCTATGTACTTAGGTTTTAGGGAATTCATTCCATAAATAGTGAGCTTGAATTAGATGTTTGGTCAATAGATATTTTTTAAATTAGGGAATATTTATATGGATTTTTATTGCACTTTGAACATGTGAAGGAAGAAAGCAACTTTATTTTTCTGATTTCAGTCCTATTTTTAAAATAAAGAGAGCAGATCCCCAACAACTTCGACAAGAAGATTCCGATGCTGTATGGAATGAACTGGCCTATTTCAAAAGGGAAAACCAGGAGCTAATGATTCAAAAGTGAGTTTCTTTTTTAACAATATGGGCTTAGATAAACATTTGGGAGAAAGTTTTTGTGAATTAAAGGCCCTGAGAGAAGTACCTTAGAAAATTTGGAAATGAAATCATCTTTTATTATGCCAATAAAATTTTTAAAAAGGACTAGTTTGTAAAATATATATGTATAATGCAATAACAAGTTGCACATTAGCTAGCTCTAGGCGCAACTGTATAATATGATCTAGGGATTGTGTTAATTAATGTGGCTCTCATCTGTTGGAGGTGTCGCTCTTCATTAGCCTGTATTTTAGACACTGCTGTGCTTCATTTTTGGAATGAGGTGGAGAGGGGATAACCTAGCCAGCCATCCTTGTTTGATCTCCCAGATACATACGCAGTGCAGAATGCCTGAGCTCTCTTGGTTCCCTGCCCTGTCCTGCTAATCCCAGTTGAGCTCATTATGGTGTAGCCTTGCTGCTACTCTTGGAGCCAGAGCTGTCCAAGCTAATTACTGGTAGCAGCAGAACTGCCTGTTAAGGGTCTGGTATGTATCTGCTAACATGGTCCTTGGTAGTGACCTGCAAAAGACACTAGGGAATTGCTTTCTTTCTTGCTGTGCACTGCCTGTCCTTTGGGCTTAATGCTGATCCCTCACATAGGTCTTTTAGCTGCCTTAAATATAAAACTTGATGAAGGATTCTCATATTTATAAAAACATACAGTTTGCTTCCTTGATCTTATAATTCACAGGCTATTATATTCAGCTTGGAAAAAAAAGAGCACGTTCTTTTTTTTGAAACAAAAAGGTGATGGAACAATATAATTAGCTCTTTTGCTACTTAACTATTTTCTCATTTAGAGTTAATTTTTGATATTCAGACCATGCAGTTTTGGGGAAAGCCTGGATGTTTTTTAGATTACTAGAACATAGCATTATGTGTGGAATAATTTAATTAAATATTGAATTAGCTATAATCAAAATCTTATATACTATATAATACCACATGTAACTTTAGATTACTACCTTCTCTGTGTAATTGTAAACATTTGAGCAAATGATCATATTGGATTTAAATGTATACTTCCAATTACCTCTTAAAGTGTACTATACTCTTTGAGTGCTATTTTTGCAATGCTAATAATAGTCTCTTATCTTGAAAATAATTTTATAGATTTGTCCCAGAAATATTCCTTGATAATTTTAATAGCTCTATTGAGATATAATTCACAAGACATATAATTCACTATATAAAGTGAATAGTTCAATAACTTTTAGTATATTTGAAGAGTTGTGCATCACAATAAATTTTAGAAGATTTTAATTAAGCCCCCTAAAATCCCAACACCACTTAGCTGTGACCTCCCCAATTCTTCCACTCACATTTGTGAATATGTGTCCCTCCACCCACCAGCCCGACGTAACCACTAATCTACTTTCTGTGTCTATAGATTTGCCTATGCTGTACATTTTATATAAATGAAATTATACAACTTCTGTTCCTTTGTGACTAGCCTCTTTTCACTCAGCATAATGTTTTCCTAATGTTTACCCATATTGTAGTACATATCAATACTTTCTCTGGTAATCTTTAGTGTTCTTTTTGTCTACATAAATGAAAGTTAATTTTGGACAAAGTGAATTAGGTGAGAAGACCTGACCTACTTAGTTGCAAGATCTAGTCTATTCAAGAAAATTTCAGACAGAGTTTAGCTATAAGTGGGGATTATTTGGGATTTATTTTATTAATTAATGAAATAGAACTAAAGAAAAAATAATGCCTGTTTAAGAAAGTTAGAGAACTTCTTAGAACATTCTATACATTCAGCAATGTGTGTATGTTACAGGTAGCTCTTTGAATTAAATGTTAAGAGTCATTACTAAAAGTGTGGAATTTTTCCTTCCTGAAATCTGTTTAAATTCATTTGTGATAGCCATTTGTAAATATAAGTATTAACTTAGTTAAACATAGTGAAATTTGGATTAATAAACTTTAAAGAATGATGAATAACTGATATAAACTTTAAATCATATAGTAGCGCTTTGTAGGGGGAGGGTTGAGTTATTTTGTGAAACATTTAGTTAACAGTGTATTTGAGCTACTGCTCTGTGACAGGTACTGTGCTAGGTGAATGAAATGAGAGTTTTAGACACACTTTCTAATCTCAAGGAACGTCCTTGGAAACATGTTCAGTATTAAATGTTCAAATGAAATATGATGTTAAAATAAAACTAAAAGTCTTATAGTGAAACAAGACTTACAAATGTAAATATTTTATTCATTAAAATTTGTTTATAATGAGGAAAGAATTTATTTGCTTTTTAAAAATTTATATATAGTAGGTGAATTTTTTAGCATATAGTTTTATGAGTTATAACAGAGTGTATATATTTATATTTATATTATTTATATTTATATTTATCCAATAGATTTGAGTAACACCACTATCAGGATACGAACTAGTTCCATTATTTCAAAAAAAATTTCCTTTTTCTGCCTTTTTGTAGTCAAGTCCCTAACTCCTGGCAACCACTGAATTATTCTTCCTCATATAGCTTTGCCTTTTTTCAGAATGTCATATGCATGGGATTATATAAGCGTTACCTTTTTGAGCCTGGCTTCTTTCACTCAGCAAAATGCCTTTGAGATTCATTCATATTGGTTCATCCAGTTTGTTCCTTTTTATTGCTAAATGGTATTCTGTTGTATGGATGTTCCACAGTGGATTTATTTATTTCCTGGAGAACATTTGGGTCTTTTCATGTTTTTTTCAATTATGAATAGACCTGCTGTATATGGGTTTTTGCATGAGAATAACTTTTTGACTCTTTAAGGGAAATACTCTTAGCTGCGTTACTGGTATATGGTCAGTGCATGTATAACTATAAGAAACTGCCAAACTGTTTTCCAGAATGGGTATACCATTTATCATTTCCACCAGGATGCATATGGGTCAAGTTGCTCTAATCCTTATCAGCATTTAGCTTTGTCATTATTTTTTTAGTGCATTGGTATCTCATTGTGATATTAATTTGCATTTCCCTAATGGCTAATGGTATTGATAATTTTTCACGTGCTTATGTGCTGTCTTTATATCTTTTTTATGACTTTCTGTTCAAAATTTTTGCCCATTAAGAGCTAATAATTATTAAATCAATTAAATGACCATTGTCTTTTATATAGTCTTAATATAAGTCATTAATCAAATTTGGTATCTCATTGTGATATTAATTTGCATTTCCCTAATGGCTAATGGTATTGATAATTTTTCACGTGCTTATGTGCTGTCTTTATATCTTTTTTATGACTTTCTGTTCAAAATTTTTGCCCATTAAGAGCTAATAATTATTAAATCAATTAAATGACCATTGTCTTTTATATAGTCTTAATATAAGTCATTAAACATGTGATTTGCAAGTATTTTCTCCCACTCTATAGATTACCTTTTCATTCTCTTAACAGTGTCTTTTACATGACAAAAGTTTTAATTTTAATGCTCAGCTTAATATTTTTTTTATTTTATGGATCATAGCTTTGATGTAATATCTAATAACTATTTTCATGACCTGAGGTAATAAGTATTTTCTCCCACGTTTTCTTTGAAAAGTTTTATATTTAGCTCTGTGATCCATTTTGAGCTAATATTTGTATAAGTTATAAATTACAGGTTGAAGTTTATTTTATATTTTTTGCAAATTCTTGTCCAGGTAGTATGAACATCACTTTTGAAAAGACTACCTTTTCTCTAATGAATTGCCTTTGTAACTGTCAAATATTAACTGAATATATTTTCTGTCAGCCTCTTGCAAATTCTATTTATTTCCATTATCTGAATCCCTAAACTTTAGTGAATACGACACTGTCTTGATTACTGTAGCTTTCTGAGGAGTCTTAAACTTAGTGTGAGTCAAATAGCTTTATTCCTTTTTAAAATTGTTATGGCTTTTCTTTCCTTTTTTATATAAGTTTTAACTACAAAAATAGGTAAGGAAAAATAGCTGTAGCTACCAAAATAATGTAGGAATCTTGATTTGAATTGTGCTAAATCTATTGATCAGCTTGTAGAGAATTGATGTATTAACTATGTTGAGTCTTCTATTCCATGCATATGGTATGTTTCTTAATTTACTGAGATTCCTCTTATCAATGCTTTATAGCAGGGGTCCTCAAACTACGGCCCACAGGCCACATGCGGCCCACCGAAAACATTTATCCGGCCTGCCGGGTGTTTTTGCCGCCGCTGTGTGCATAGGAATTTGTTCATAGTTTTTTTTTAAACTATAGTCCGGCCCTCCAACGGTCTGAGGGACAGTGAACTGGCCCCCTGTTTAAAAAGTTTGAGGACCCCTGCTTTATAGTTTTATAATGTAGATTCTATATGTTTAATACTTTTGTTAGATTTATATTAAAAATGGTGAAGGGATTAAGCAAAATAAAAACAAAACAATTCATAGACACTGATAGCAGTATGGTGATTATGAGGGAAAGGAGGTTGGGGTAGGTAGAAAAAGGAAGAGAGGGATAAATCGTAACAGAAGGAGACTTGACTTTGGGTGGTGAACACAACGTAGATTCTATATGTTTAATACTTTTGTTAGATTTATATTAAAAATGGTGAAGGGATTAAGCAAAATAAAAACAAAACAATTCATAGACACTGATAGCAGTATGGTGATTATGAGGGAAAGGAGGTTGGGGTAGGTAGAAAAAGGAAGAGAGGGATAAATCGTAACAGAAGGAGACTTGACTTTGGGTGGTGAACACAACACAATATAATCTACACTAATAAAAGAGAAACATGGTAATTGGCGTACGACCGCTACCCTTTTCATTGGCAAATCAGTGAGTATATGCAAATTAACTGTCAGCCAAGATGGCGGCCAGCAGCCAGGCACTGAAGCGAGCAGGGAGGCTTGCTTGCTGCGGACTCCAACGTTCCCCGCCTCAGTTGCCGGCCGCTCAGCTGCAACTCTAAGCAACTATATACTATGTTGCAAATAAGAAGCTAAACAAAACACCAGA